GGAAGTGAAGCTGAGTGAGTGCTGTGAGAATGCGTTAACTCACCGCAGGTGACCACATCATAACATTGTCACAGGAGAATCCACACCAGTAGATGTGCTGGTTGGAGAACAAAGTTAGCTTTGAAAGGCTAGAGAAAAAGACTTTTTGAAATGTCAAATCCACTCTATAAAACTGGCCACCCTTGACATCATCCCTTTAATGGACCTGAGTCTGAGAATAGTCTAGGAATTTCAAAATGAAGACTAACAGCACTTCAGACAGGATGTCCAAAGGCAAAATCCTGTTACTTCTCAGAGACCTCAGGAGATGAAAACGTTGGAGAAGAAGCCACTTTCTACCTTGGCTGGCACTTTTTCTAACTTGAATGCTTTTATATGTTATTTAAGTGGCATCTATAGTTCAAAAGGCAGTCATTTGCTTGACACTGTGAAGCACTCTTCCTCCACCCCATGGTTTTTATTTCTCAGTATATGTTCAAGCAATGAGAACAAAAAAGTTCTTCCCTCTTGAGTGAAACTTGAGAAAACAGCTCTTGCTTTGCGCACATAAATGAGCGTGGAACACTCCCCCTCCACTCCCCTTCATATTGTTTCTCTAAAGCACGCTTGGCTTTCGTTTAAAGCACAGAGGGTTAAAGCTAGCAATGACCGTAGGGGTCATCTAATTCAACTCCATTTTCCAGAATTTTAAAAAAAGAAATAATTTTATTGGGGACTTTTACAGCTCTTATAATAATCCATACATCAATTGCATCAAGCACATTTGTACATATGTTGTACATATCCTTTTCAAAACATTTTCTTCCAACTTGAGCCCTAGGTATCAGCTCCTCTTCCCCCTCCCACCCTCCCCCCTCGTGAACCCTTGATAACTTTAAATTATTTTTATTTTCATAATTTACACCATCTGTTGTCTCCTTTCACCCATGTTTCTGTTGCTCGTCCCCAAGGGGGGTGGGTGTTATACATCGATCATTTCTATTGGTTTTCCCTTTCTTCCCCTTTGCCCCCACCTTCCCCTACCCTCATGGTACTGCTACTCTCAATATTGGTCTTGAGGGGTTTATCTGTCCTGGACTCTGTGTGTCTAGAGCTCTTATCTGTAGCCATGTACATTCTCTGGTATAGCCAGACTTGTAAGACAGAACTAGGGCCATGATAGTGGGAGGGTGGAGGAAGCATTAAAGAAATAGAGGAATGTTGTAGGTTTCATCAGTGCTATACTGAAACCTGGCTCCTCGCCCCTTCCTTGTGACTCTTCCATTTTACAGATTTGGAAAATGAGGGTCAGAGAGAGGAATTAATTTAATGGGAGGACAGGGAGTATAATATGACTGTCTTAATTAGTTGACTTATGTGCATTGCAAGTCCTTTGGCTGTTTAAAATTTGGACAGGAGGCATGTAGAACTAAATTTGTGTCCACACGTGTCTTTGTAGAGAGCCCTAGTGGTGCAGTGGTGAAGGGTTCAGCTGTTAATCCAAAGGTGGGCAGTGGGACCGCACCAGCAGCTCCACAGGAGAAGGAGGTGACAGACTGCATCTGTAAAGATTTACAGCCTTGAAACCCGATGGGGCTCTTCTATTTTGTCCTATAGGGTCGCTATGGATCAGAACCAACATAATAGACACAGATTAGGTTTGATGTGAGTTTGTTTGCATAAAAGAGCATATAAATATTATTTAAGTTTTCTGTTTTCAGAGCATTAATTTCATTTATACAGCAAATATTACTGACTGGATGGAAACTAACAAGAAGGACAAGTGCCAAGCACCAGGGACAGAATGATTAAGAATACACAGAAAGTCCCACTATCAGGCATCTTACAATCTTGTGGGAGAAACAATAAGTAATAATCAGATAATCCACCTCTCAGTGGACAGAATTGTTCTCAGATCTGAGTCAGTTGGAGTCTCCCCCTCTCTATCCCTCTGCTCTCATCCCTGCCACCACCACCCCTTCTTGTGGATCTGCAGAGAGAAGAGAACGAAACCATTTCAAATCCCTCTTTTGTTTAAAGATCATTTTAGTGGGGGCTCTTACAGTTCTAACAACCCATACATCAATTGTATCAGGCATATTTGTACATATGTTGCCATTTCTAGACATTTACTTTATATTGAGCCCTTGGTATCAAGTCCTCTTTTTACCCTCCCTCCCCCTGGTGACCTCTTGATAAATTATACATTATAATTATTTTCATATCTTACACCAACCACTGTCTCCCTTCCCTCACGGTTTCTGTTGTTCGTTCCCCCGGAGTGGGTGGTGGTGGTGGTGATGTATCAATCATTGCGTTCGGTTCCCCCTTCCTCCCCTCTTGCTCCACATCTATTTGGGTCACTAGTGAGTTTGGTTTGCTGGGTTTGGTGCTACATCTCAAGGTCAGTGTGCAGTGCTCAATTTGTTAAAGTCGGGTTTCATCTCAGCGTAGCACTGGAGTGGAGATGCCAGCGTTTGTCATCAACAGTACAGTAGTGGGCTGGCTCAGCTGTCAGTTTGCTTGTGAGATGACAATGAGGCACTGCATGTGAAAGTTGTACTATTGCCTTATAATCCGCGCCCCCCCCACTTTGCATCTGATCTTTAGCCGTGCTGGACCCATCGGACCTGGCTGCTTGGATAGGTGTGCTATTTTTGCACCACAGCACAAAACAGAGACAGAAAAGAAGAATGCCGGGTCCACTTTTGCTGTCAGATCTGGGTTGCGCTGTGCCCACATTGGTGGAGGATTTGCTCAGGGTTGTTCAGAGACAGAAAGGGGTTAGGTATTTTTTCCTTTTTACCTACACAATACTGAGTGTTCTTGCAGCTCACCCCATAGCCAGGCTGTTCCCCATACAAAGGGATATGAGGGGATGCCCTGCCTTATTTTCAACTATGTTTTAACTCCCACCATTAGGATTCATTTCTCTGGGCGAATTATTTGCTCTCTTGGAATATAAAGAATTTAGAGAGGGCTCACTTTTCAAATCTTTAACATCGGAGTATGCAGCCACCTACCAGCTTAATATCTTCCTTGACTCAAAGCACGACTAGAGGTGAGAGGTGAAGTTGGGCAAAAACAAGCGGGGTTGGAGGAGGATGGGACAACCTTCGATTATTCTCACGAGTCATCCTTGAATGTCATCCTGAATGCTAGTTTGGGTTTTTGTTTGAATTTTTGATGCTGAAAATGATTGTAGAGAGGGTATATATACATACACATACATGCGTAAAGGGGGGGTTAGGTTTTGGTGAAATTCAGACAGATTCTGAATTAATTATGAATAAGGGGGAATGTACTGAGCTCGACTGTCAAAAAGGAGAGTTGTTCCTTGTTGCCTCTTTAATTTTGGAGGATTGCTCTTACGTTTTTGTGTGTAGGGAGCAAATATCTGGTTGTGTCATAGGGCAGCTATGCACATCTATTCCATGGATAAGATAGTTGAGGATTGAAAAAAAAAATCCTTCCTATTGAGCTTCCAACCTTGCCATGTACTCAAAGAACTTGTCACTTGATGTTGTGGAAGGTACACAGCAGACTATTTGAATTCCGATGATCAAAATAGTTTACATAGATTAAAGGGACATGTAGAAGCCTATTGAATTCAAGACACGAAACAGTCGCAGCCTAGTGAAAACCGAGGATGTTTGGGGGAAATATCACTTAATAGCATATTTTGAAATACAATAGATGCGTTTCATTTCAAAGAGGACATGGAGTTGAAATAACAATAAAAGCTAATGACAGTGGAGGATCCTTTGAAGAACACATATTCCCTAGAAACAACAGAATTGAAAGACACAGCACAAATATGAACACTTGTAAAATGATTCAAACCAGGTTTCATGCCTAATGCTGAATGATGGGCCCTATATACATCAAAGGACTCACGCTCGACACTATGTATGTATGTATGGATTGTGATAAGAGCACCAATTAGATGATTCATTCTCTCACCCACGGTCCATCAAGTAGATAAATCTGGAACATCTTTGGACATAGATGATGATTTTTGTACCTGAGCCAGCATTTTGGAATCTTGGGCAAGATGATAGGAAAAAATTAATCTTTGCTCAGAACTAAGATTGGTCCCAGAGCCCTGGTGGTGATGTGGGGTAAGCTTCGGGCTGCTAAACCCAAGCTCTGCAGTTTAACCCCACCAGCTGCTCTGCAGGAGAAAGAAGGGGATGTCTGCTTCCAGAAAGATGTACAGTTCCAGAAATCCTACATTGGGTCGCTATGAGTTGGAATCACCTGACGGCACTGGATGTGGGCAGTGGGTAAGATTGTTCAAGACGGCTGCATGAGGGAAGAGGAGGAAGAACGAGAGCTTATAGGATGCCTGCTGTTCACCTCCTACCTCTCACTGTGTAGGAGCCTCGTGGCCTTGCTCAGTAGTGATGACTTGCTGATACTCATCATTTTGGTGTTTGGATCTCAGAGCTTCTGGGCTTTCCATTCTCTGTCAGTGTGTTACTGGCCACCTAAGTCCACAGACAATTTGCCTCCTCTCCTTTGGAGGCTGGTTAAGCTGAGTCATCCCTGGTGGCCCCTGAGAAAATAGCAAGAACAGAAGCAGAGGTAAGGGTTGGGATGGGGGGGGTTGTTTTTCTTTTTCCTGTCTGTGTCAGAGTCCGTGTTGGTACCGCACTCCAAATCATGCCAGGACTTTTTTCCAACTTTCTCCCCTCTCCATATAATTAGGGTATGGGGAACAGAAGAGCGGGGAACCTGGTGGCGACAACCTAGAAACTGAACTGCTGAGTTGCTCTTTATTGAAGTGTGAAAAGGAGGTTTTTGGGCAAGTCGCCAACATCCTGTTGTTCTAGTGCTTCTGTCTCTTTTCTAACATCTGACTGAACTGGGAGTCAGGTGGCTGGGCTGAAACAACGGTGCTGTCTCCTTTCTGCCTTCTTCCTTCACAGCCGGATCAGAGTCTGCCAGGCCATGGAGGCAGTGGCCGTGTATCATGGCAAAATCAGCCGCGAGACCGGGGAAAGGCTCCTGCTGGCCACGGGTCTGGACGGCAGCTATTTGCTGAGGGACAGCGAGACCATCCCGGGTGCCTACTGCCTGTGTGTGCTGTGAGTATGCCACCATGGCCCAGGGCCAGGCCTGCAGCGCTCAGCTAGTGCCAGACCTGGCACCTGCATAGGCTGTGGCTTCAGGTATGGAGAGCAGTCATGGAGAGCAGAAGTGACCAGAGTTCCCAGAGGTCACCTTCTCTACTTGCTCAGTGGTTCTGAGAGCTTCTTCTGGTCCATGCCAGGGCTGTGGTGAACCACTTTTGGGCCTGGGGCTGGGGACTGATGTCTTGAGTTTGCTGTGCTCCAGGAGGAACCAGCATCTTCTTTGGGGTCCCTGGCAGAACATGTCCTTTTGGGTGGGGAAGCAGGGCCAGGCTCCTGGTTTCAGATTTGTCCTCTAGTGGAGATCAGCAAGGTGGATCCCCGGGATGATGGACTGACCAGATTTGGGGCCACCAGCTCCTGAGAAAAGGCAAGGCCACCCTTCAACCTTTCTAAAGAGGCCATTGCAAAGGAAGACCATGGAATTCACGGAGAGGAGGAAGGCTCAGGACTTGAGTCCATGGCCAGGAGAATACAAAGCCACTTAGGTCAGGATGGCTCTGAAGTGGTGGCTGTGAACAGCACTGCCTGCCTGAATCTGCTCCTTTAACTATCTTCAGAGGAGCTGTGTAGGGTCTGGGGGTTTCAGAAAGGATCCTTTGTGTAGGTGGGGTGGGGTGGCGGAGCCAGAACTGACAATAGTAAGAAAAGGCAGAGGGAAACACCCTTCTTATGATTCACTCTTGCCTGTGGCCACGGCTGTCTCAGGCTAAATTCTCATTTTGAATCAGATGCTCTTTCATCAATGTTCCCGGGCTCCAGAGTCAGGCAGATCCGAGATCTGAGCCTGTTGCTAGTCAGAAGCAGGGCTTAGGACCTCTGGCAAGTTAAGCTCTTGGCCCCTCTGCTTTTGCATCCCTAAAGTGGTTATACTATAACTACAGGATGGTGAGGGTTAAATGTCCTTATCCCACTGCCATCAAGTCAATGCTGACTCCCAGTGACTCTACAGGACACAGTGGGTAGAACGGTTCTCTGTGAGTTTTCGAGGCTGTAATTCTTTGTGGGAGTAAAAGAGCCTCGTCTTCCTCCCTTAAATGAATGCTCTAATGCACATAAAAGTTCCGCCCCGGACTCGGCACATAATCCTTGTCCAATACGTGCATGCTAATGGAACCTTCTTCTCTTTTGGGACTGGCTTTCTGTTAGTACTCTTGGGGATGCTTTTCTAGAGAAGAGCCTAGCCCAACACCTTGTGGAAGCAGAGTAACAGCACCCACAAGCACACCAGCCCTGCATAAGAGTTCCTAGGCAAAGACACAATGAGGGAAATGGACGAGTTTTGACGTACCTCCTGACAGTGAAGGAAGATTAGATGATGGGTGGAGGTAGAGGACTTTCCTTCGTATGCTGGCTTTTGAAAATGGCCAATCTGTGCTTCTGAAACTTCTAGGTGCATCAGAATGCCTGCTGAGTTCTGGCCAAGCTAAAGCAACTTTCATGCAGATTTTGCAAGCTATTCAACTTCTTGGGCTCAGATCTTCATGGTTGGCCTATATTATTGTCTTCTCCACACAGAAACTATGAAAGGCCAATGAAAGGGAACCGGTGTCTTTTCTTATCACCTGGAGGTGCAAGAGTGAGTGGGAGTTGAAAGGAGCTACTTGACAAAAAGCTGACAAAGGGGATGATGGGCCTACACCTGTTGTGGTGGATAGGTACCATTGAATCAGTTCCAACTCATAGCGGTCCTATGTATATCAGATTGAAAGACTTTGTGGTTGTGTGCTTCCTCCTAGTGATTACATTTGGGCCCATTGCTGAGGTGGAAAAGCTAGGTACAGAAGAAACAAAGTAGGTACAGAAGAAGCCTGGGGAGGGGAGGGAGAACAGGGGCACAGTATGTGGCAGAACTCACCTACGGTTTCAACCCTGTTGACCACTTTGCTGTTTCTCATGGGCCTTTCTCATGCTCCCCTCATAGGGTCTTTGTGCTTGTTGAGCCTTCCGTCCCAAATATATGTTATTCTTATTCCTCAGGGAAGATCTCTTTGATGACCCTGTCTAAAGTGAGTGTCCTCTCTCAGTTTCTGCTACGCTGTCAATTTGTCTTCAAGGAGCTCAATGCACTCTTCCATTCCTTCATTTGCTTATTCTGGGCTGGGACCCCTGCTGAAATGTAACCTACATAGGGAATGGGCATGCATGGCTGTTTGTATTCAGCACCAGGAACACCGCCTAGCATACAGTTGGTACCCAGTACATCTTTTTCAGTGAATTAATGAATTAGTAAGACGAATCCTCTTCTTTACTACAAAGAGCTTAGGATTGATATCAAAAGTCCAGCCTTAAGGAAGTCATTCAACTTCTCTGGGTCTCAGTTTCCATATTCCTAAACAAAGGATAGTAATGTGGAAACAATGCATGGAATGTTAACCGCTTGCCATGTAGGCCAGGACCGCATAAGGAATTAACTTAGGCAAGTGGGAATTTCTCAAACATTTATTTTCACTGAAATTGAGTCTTGGATAAATGCATTTTGTAAATGACTCTTAGTTTTCCAGAAAACGCAGTTGGTAGGCAATTTGAGAGTCTCTCAAGCGTGTCTTTGAATTAGTACACAGGAGCCTCCAAATCTTTTGGGACTCCTAGTCAAATTGCCAGGCTCTGATGCAATGCATGGGAGAAAGATGAGGTTTTCTACTCCTGCAAACAGTGACAGTATCTACTCTGTCCTGTACGGTCGCTCTGAGTTGACATTGCCTCCAAGGCAGTGAGTTTGGTTTTGGGTTGGCTGAGATGCAGGGATAAACTCAAACCAAACCTGCTGCCACTGAGTTGCTGTCTGTCCCAGAAGACAGAGAGGAATCATCTCCTCTGGTTTCCTAGGTTGTAAAGTTTTATGGGAGCAGAAGTCTTCATCTTCCCCCTGAAGATCAGTTGATGACCTTAAACTAGCTTTTGGTCAGCAGCCCAATGATTAACCCGCTGCACCCCCAGGGTCCCATTCAACACAAAGGCACATTGCCTTTTACCAGACTTTCTCCCCTCTTTTGATCCTAGTATCTTCTCCCTTCTATCCCTTATTTTATATTCTACCTTGTGGGTTTTGGAATCGTTTTTTTTTGTGTGGTATAACAAAGATGTGTTGCTGAAATTAAAAAATGTCCAATACATGTGCAACCAGAAATAGTTCACAAACATTCACTGTAGGATTCACTCTGAATGGTTTCTCATTCAATGTTTTGTTCATTCTTGTTATCTAAGAAGAGTTTGTGGCGCTTGAGTTTCTGTCTTTTGATTGCGTATACCTTTTCAAATATATGCTTGGTGTAGTTGAATCCATTCCTACTCCTAGTGACCCTGTATTAGTCTGGGTACTTTGGAGAAGCAAATCCACAGCAACTCATGTATAAGAGAGAGTTTTATGTAAAGAAAATGTGCATCACGAAAACATCCCAACCCAATGCTGCCCAAGCCCACAAGTCCAACATTAACCCATTAACCCAAGACCAGTCCACAAAGTCCTCCACCTCACAAAACAGAGGCAATGATGCCGGAGGAAAGCTGAGTCAGTGACCGAACAAGCATCTCAGCACTAGCAGGGGTCTCCTCCACACGGCTGCTCCAGCACCCAGGGCTGCATCGGGATAGGTCCATGTAGCTTCTCCTTGGGGATGTCTTGTAGGAAGTCATTCTTGCAAGCTGAAGCAGGGAACTGCTAAGGTAGCTGCACCCCGTGCAACCATCACAAAACAAGAGACCCGAGAACTAGAAAGGCGAGGCTCACCACCCATTTATCCCTCTGCCTTTCAATTAGCCCCACATGTGATTATTGGCCAGGCTGGCACAATTAACTAACTCAGACCCCATGTGTCAGAGTCTAACTGTCCCTGAGGGTGTTCTAAGCTGTCATCTGTACAGGAGCAAATTGCCAGATCTTTCCCCAGAGGAGCCAATCTTTCTACAAGCAGCCGAGCACTTCACCTTTGCCCTGCCAGGGTTCCATCTTTCAAACTGTGCTTGCCTCTCGTCCTAGGGGGTGAACCCTTTAGATAGGGCCTTTCAAAGTTTGCTTCAGCTCAGTTTTAGAAAACCGAAATGCATTTCTAGTTATAGGATTGCTTGCCTTCAAGTTTCTCATGCAATTAATTTTTCTACATATATCTAGAATATTTCATAATAAGTCTTTTTGCAAATTGTCCCTTCTGGGCTTCCTGAGGCTGTAAATCGTCACAGCAGCAGAACGCCTCCTCTTTTTCCCATGGAGCAGCTGGTGGGTTTGAACTACTGATCTTGTGGTTAGTAGCCTTAGCTTTAGATATGTGGATGACATAATTTTTATTGATATATATATTCTTTCATGATCCATATTTCACTGTATGAAGTTTAACTTGTATTTATGTTTATGATTTTTTTGGTCATGATTTCCAAATCTGAACTTTAAAAATAATTATTGTGACTCCAAGAAAAATTTTCCCTTTGCCCATGTAGTGCTTAATGTTGTTGTAGTTTTCCTTTTGAACAATTTTATTGGCCCATAATTCACATATCATACAATTCAATAGTTCAATCTCATTAAGAAGAGTTGTACAGCCATCACTACAGTCAATTTTAGAACAGCTTCTTCTTTCGTGCATTCATGGTTATTAGCTCCCCATTTCCACCAGGTCATTTTCTTTCTTTAACTTTTTTCTTGTGAATTAGGTGGGGGTTATATGTCAGATCATTAGTTTTGTATTCAACAACTTTAACTACTTATCAATCTTCCCAATAGCTTGCCCTGTCTCCTCCTCTTTTTCGTTCATATCAGTTCTTTTGTAGGATATCATCTTCTCCTTCATCAAATTAGCACCTCTTTTCCGGCTATGCTCCCCAACCCCCCTTTTGAGGTCAGAAAACATGGACAGCTTAGAATCGTTGCTGTATATATGAGCACCAATTATTTTTCCCTAAATGGTCATTTTAATTTACATGCTCATCAATAATGCAGACGAGTGTGCTTCACCACACTA